GACCATCCAGGTGTGGCCTCCACCGCCCTAGTGCTTATCTTTGCTTTTCTTTTTTTTTAATTTTTTTTTTTTTTGTCTTTTTCGTTTTTATCGGTACCAGGGATTGAACTCGCGACTACCTGCTTGCAAGGCAGGTGCTTATGCTGCTGAGCTAAATCCCCAGCCCTATCTTTGCTTTTCTAGAACATTCTCTGAGTGTTCCTCACAACGTCTGATTCCTGTACCTTCTCATCCTAGTTGTGTGCTGTCAAGGCTGCCAAGCTTCTCTTAAGGGAAAAACTGATCAACCATATGCAACAGGACCATGCCTCTCCTTATCTAGAGTCCTGCTAGTCACAGTTTCAGTAATGAGAACTAAACGTGTCGCTGGAAAGTTAGAATACATCAGTGAACACTTCCACTTGGTATAAAACTTGTACAATTTCAAGGTCACTGCTAACACAGACTTGACTTCTCAAGCCTGGAAATTCTGGTGCTTCCCTAAATTTTGGATTGGCTTTGGTTTTTTATTGTTTTTTGTTTGTTTGTTTGTTTTTGTTTTTTGTTTTGTTTTGTTTTGGTGTGTTTAGTTTGTTTGTACCGGGAAATAAACCCAGGACTTTGCACTTGCCAGGCAGGTGCTGTGTTGCTAAGCTATATTCCCTGTCTTTGGCTTTTGATCAGACTTTGAAAAGAAACTAGCCATGTTTATCATGAGGACATTAAGCTACAGTGCAGTGAGAAGTGAAAAATGTTATGTAGATCTAACTTTTGGTCCAGGCTCAGCTACTATAAAAAGGAACCTATACCTTGAGATTCACAGGTTGGCATAGGAGCAGAGTTACTGCACCAGCGCAGTAGCAGTGGGCATCAGCCTGCTCAGTCAGCGTGCTCAGAGCGATCTGAACAGAAGCAGTTCCAAGGACCCAGCAGCACACTGCTGCCAGCTCTGAGAACTGGTGAAGCTGACTCTGCTTTTCCTCCCCAACTCCAGGTTTGTGACATCTTGGCTGGAAATCAGCCACTATCGCAGTAATTACATCATGAAAATTGGCAAAGGTATAGATCAGGGTTTTCTTTCCTGGAGAGTCACAATTAAACATTTACTAGCATATTACTGTAAAAAATAAACTCAGCCAGAGCCACAAAACACACTGCTATCTTAGCTTTTATTTTGTCTTCATGCTTTGCATCTACATAACCAAACCAGAATTCTTCCCTAGTGACATTTTTTCCTGTGGATCACAAAGCATCTTGTAAATATTACACCATTAATTCTCACAACACACCCACGGAGGTAGGGAGGTTAAGTGACTTGCCCCAGGCATAACAGGAAATCCATGGTGAAAAGCAGAACTGAACCAGTCTGTACTAACCACCTCTGCACTGTGCGAGCTTCCTCCACCAAGGCCCTGGACAGACAGGCACTGAAATCATAGGTAGCAATTACCCGTGGTGCTTTCTCCTCCCAACCTATGGAGCCAGATTCCTTTCTGCAGACTGGCCCAACTGTCTGGGCATTTGAGAGAATACTCAAAAGCTCACTGCACATTTTTTCCAGGATTATTGATAGTTTTTTACTAGTCAGCTTCCTTGAGTCCAAAGATACATGCTCGCAAAAACAATGGGTGGAGTTCTGTTCTGATTCTAACAAATGCAAGGGGCATTGTAACCAGTCAACCTGATTTGTAGGCACCCCAAAGGTAGAGACCTCAGAGTTGCTTTCCATCGTGACCTCTCCTTCATAACTCTATGGAAAGGAAGGAATGGCAACCTTGGAGTAAGCAACCTCCAAATGCTCCCCAGGATTCTCACCCTCCAGGGTATCACTCTAGCATAACTCCCTGCTACTCACTGAGCATGGGCAAATCTAGCAGTTTGTTCCTAATGAATAGAATATGGCAAAAGTGACAGGACTCATTTCCAAGGTTAGTGTCTAACAGTTTCTGTGTGCCAGGGATAAGTGTGAAACCTGCAGGACAGCACCCTCGCCTGCCATGTACACTTCCTCTGCACTCTAGACATCGCTGCCTTTCATGACATTTGAAAATGTTACAGTGATAAGAATGGCCTGGCATTCCAAACAAAAAAAGCCACAAACTAACGGGAACCTGGCAATTGGATGTCCAAGTTCTCAGTTTTATAGTGTCAAAACAGCTGGCAAAAGAGGCCACAGAAGGAAGCATGGGCTAAAAGCTGCCCTTTCTGTTCTTGCATAATTCTTGCTGTTGGAGTTTCACTAGGACCACAAGGCTCTGGCTACTTTCATATCTGGCCTGACATTAGAATGTAATTCAACTAGATAAAACCTGGGACTTAGCCAAAATAAGTATCATTGGAAAAACTAGAGCTAATGAATAGCATCACTCTTCTGTGGGACCATATGACTATGATGTGAGGAAATAAAGACCTTTGTTATTTTATAGGGCAGGGATGATTGGAGGTTTTGCAGCAGACAGTTACAAAATTTTCCACCTTTAGCTCTCCAAGTAAGATACTAGCAAGAGGCTTTGGGAGCTGGGCATGGAAGGTGTTGCTTGGAAAGGAAATTCAGCTGATCCTGGACAGAATGTAAATCAGTTACTATGCCTGTCACGGAGCCTGAAATGGACTAATTAGCTCCTTACATTGTGAGCTTGCTTTTTCTGATCTATTCTATTACTTAGCTCCTTAAAATGGTAGCATTCTATATCAGGCAAGGCACGGAACACTGCCACAGCCATCTCACAAACTGCGAATTCTTACATTTTGGAATAATTTTGGATTGAGGTGTGTGTGGTGGTTTTGGTTTGGATTTTATTGTTTCATTTTTATGGTTTAGGGAGATCATCCAAGGCCTTGAGCATGTTAGGCAAGCACTGTACCATTGAGCTACACCCCCAGAGCTGAGCTGAGTTCTTCTCTTTTCTTCTTAAATTATCTTTTAAAACAAAATGATCTCCCCCCCCCCCCCAAAAAAAAATGTCTTTGCTTCTTGGCTTTTTTTCCCCTCATCTCGATGGGACAGAGCAAACAGAAGTCACATGTGTGACATTTTTATTTGAGATGGGTTTTCTGTACCTTCTACACAGACTGTTTGTGAAATATTTCCTTTATCTCTTGTATGTTTTAGCTTGCCCACCCCCACTCCCATTATTATCTCTATTATCTAACAGGAGAGCTGTCAGGGGACATCCCATATGAGAACTAGAAGCTCATCAACTGAACTGGTTTTAGGGTCCTCTGAGACAGTATTCTGTCCTGTTGGTTTTCATTTTATTTGATACAGAGCTTAGTATTTCTCCCTCGATAAGAAAAGATGACTCAGATCAGTGGCCTGATAAATAAGCGGGAAAATTTGATTTTGAAAAGGAAGATATTCTCTCCTCATGGAGAGAAAAAAAAGGCATCTAAACCCCAAAACACATTAAGTGACAAAACAAAGCAGCAGCATCACCTTTAACCATATCCTCCAACACGTTGAAGTATCAACACACGGAAAATGATCGGTAATGGGAATAATTTAGAAAGAGAAAAGGGAGGCCTTGAAAAATTCAGTAGAAAATAAAACATTTTTAAAGGCAAATGCTGCATCACTATCCTTTTTATTACCTTAAGGCGGATAGCCCAAAGAGGGGGTGGGGGGAATCCTGTGTGAGCAGGTACCAAGCCCAGGAGAGTCCTGTGGAGGGCCGGATGGAGGATGTGGGCAAGTCTGACACCCTACCCTGGGCCAAGGCAAACCGCCTTTAAACCCATTAACACTTGCGTGAAATGACAAAGAATGGTGAAGTGAAAGTAAGACTGCGAGCAAACTTCAGTGATAGAAGGTAAAAGAAAAACAGAAGCAGCCCAAGGGTCCTAGGGAAGGGAACCCAATTGTCTTGGATTTCAGAATGTTTTGTTTCCCAGCTAAAGAACCAGAACCACCCAGGCTGTCAACTTTCTACCTGCCAGATCTTCCCAGGGCTCCAGCACCCCGAGCTGAAAAAGCAGGACTCGGCCAGGAGCAGTGTTTTTAAAGCACGAGGCGTCGTGAGTGTGTGTGTGTGTGAGTGTGTGTGTGTGTGCGCGCGCGCGCGTGTGTAGGGACGGGGCGGGGGAAACGGCCCGATGTAGCTCTTCTCCCCCTCCACGCGTGGATCTCCTGCGCGGGGAGAGCTCGGGTTGCTCCGGCACCGAAATAGAGGCCCCACCAACTCCTGAGCCAGAGGAACAGGGGTGTGGGGGACGCGAGCTCTGCGCCTCGAGGGGGCGAAACTTTGACCGAGAACAAAAGAACGGCGGCCGCAGCAACCGCGGCCCAAGGCGAGCGCAGCCGCTGCCCCGCAGGAGCTAGAACCAGCGAACGCCGGTGTCCAGCGCGCACCCAGAAGTTCCTGCGGGGGGTTTCGGCCGCCGAATGAAGGTAGCGAGCGGCCGAGGCCTCGCCGCCCGTGAGCTCAGGGCCCCTCAAACCCGACCTCCCCGCCGGCCTCCCCGCCAGCCTCCCCGGGGTCCGCGCCGCCCGCCGCCCGCGGCTCGGGTTTCTCCGCGCGACCCCGCCCTCTCCGGTGGGGGAGGGGCGGCCGCGGTGGGGGACGGCGCCCCTCGAGGGCCCCTCCCGCCCGCGCCACGCTGTCCCCTCGAGAGGGCTTTGAGCGAGGGCGCCTCTCTGCTCAGGAATGCCTGTTCGCGTGTACCCGGAAGAAGAACACATCTCCAGACAAACTCCCTTTCTGGTGCGTTTTCCCCCTTGAGCGGTCTTAGGGTAAAAGTTTTTCCGAACTTTTCCCTCCCATCCCGCGTCCCTACCCTCAGGAATCCGCCCAGAGCGCTGCAAGCCCCGCCTCCCCAGTGCACACTCCCGCCCCTCCGACTTCCACCCAATCGGGAGGCAACGGCAGAGAAAACAGACACTGCCATTGGGTGGCGCAGCAGTCGGGGCCGCCCCCGGCGTGGTTTGTGAATGGGGGAGGGGGCGGGGCGGCGCGCCGGGAGCACGAAGCTTCTTCGGGCCACCAGTGCTGCTCCCGGGCGTCCCTCGCGCTCCCTCCCTCCTTCCCGGCGGCGGCGGCGGCGGTGGCTGCGGCGGACGCCAGGAGTCGCGGGCCAACGCTGCGAGGGGCCGCGAAGGCCGGGTCCAGGCCGCTGGCGCAGGGGCCTCGCCGCTTCAGTGGCTGCGGTGCAGCTGGGTTTCCAGGAGCTCTCGCCGAGCGCTGGTCTCCAGGGCACCGCTCGGACTCCGAAGGAGAACCTGCAGTTCTGTGGAAACTTGGGGCCAAGCCTCGGGGCAGAAGAGACTGAGGCGGCGGCCGGGGGAGCCTCCAGGCGCGGAGGCGGAGCAGCGCGGCGAGGCGGCGGCCCTAGCCGCGAGCAAGAGGCGCCCGGCCTGGGGGCGGGGGGCGTGCGCTCCGGCGCGGGGGCGCGAGCCTCGGCCAACTTCGCCGGGTAACCCGAGACGAGACGCCTGTTGCTCCGCGCCGCGCAGCCAGGCACCGTTAGTCTCGGCGGGGCGGGCCCGTCGCCCTTCTCCGAGCCCCCGGCACAGGCCGACGAGGTTGGGCCCCAGCGGCGCGCGAGTGCCTGGTAGAGGCGGCGGCGGTGGCCTCGCCCTCGCGGCGCAGCACCCCGGCGGCAGCGCCCTCGGCTCCGCGCCGCCCACGGCCCGGCCCCTGCGCCGGCGCCAGGAGGACTCTCATGCGCCCGGCGCGGCGGCGCCTCCCCGAACCCGAGCCTCTCCCGGGCGCCTCCTCTCGCTCCTCGGATTGAGAGCGCCGCTGCAACCGCGGTCGGCGATGCGGGGCCCCAGCGGCCTGTGCGCCCTGGTTCTGGCGCTGGTGGGCTCGCTGCCCGTGGGGACCGGGGCGCAGCCCTACCACGGCGAGAAGGGCATCTCGGTACCGGACCACGGTTTCTGCCAGCCCATCTCCATCCCGCTGTGCACGGACATCGCCTACAACCAGACCATCTTGCCCAACCTGCTAGGCCACACGAACCAAGAGGACGCGGGCCTCGAGGTGCACCAATTCTACCCTCTGGTGAAGGTGCAGTGCTCGCCGGAACTGCGCTTCTTCCTGTGTTCCATGTACGCGCCCGTGTGCACCGTGCTGGACCAGGCCATCCCTCCGTGCCGCTCCCTGTGCGAGCGGGCCCGCCAGGGCTGCGAGGCGCTCATGAACAAGTTCGGCTTCCAGTGGCCCGAGCGGCTGCGCTGCGAGAACTTCCCGGTGCACGGCGCCGGAGAAATATGCGTGGGCCAGAACACTTCCGACGGCTCCGGGGGTGCGGGCGGCGGCCCCACCGCTTACCCAACCGCACCTTTCCTGCCGGATCTGCCGTTCACCGCGCTGCCGCCGGGGGCCGCGGACGGCCGGGGCCGCTCGGCCTTCCCCTTTACGTGCCCGCGGCAGCTCAAGGTGCCCCCCTACCTAGGCTACCGCTTCCTGGGCGAGCGCGACTGTGGAGCCCCGTGTGAGCCGGGCCGAGCCAACGGCCTCATGTACTTCAAGGAGGAGGAGCGGCGCTTCGCGCGCCTCTGGGTGGGCGTGTGGTCCGTGCTGTGCTGCGCCTCTACGCTCTTCACGGTGCTCACCTACCTCGTGGACATGCGGCGCTTCAGCTACCCCGAGCGGCCCATCATCTTCCTATCCGGCTGCTACTTCATGGTGGCCGTGGCGCACGTGGCCGGCTTCCTGCTGGAGGACCGCGCCGTGTGTGTGGAGCGCTTCTCGGAAGACGGCTACCGCACGGTGGCGCAGGGCACCAAGAAGGAGGGCTGTACCATCCTCTTCATGGTGCTCTACTTTTTCGGCATGGCCAGCTCCATCTGGTGGGTCATCCTGTCGCTCACCTGGTTCCTGGCCGCGGGCATGAAGTGGGGCCACGAGGCCATCGAGGCCAACTCGCAGTACTTCCACCTGGCCGCGTGGGCCGTGCCCGCGGTCAAGACCATCACCATCCTGGCCATGGGCCAGGTGGACGGCGACCTGCTCAGCGGCGTGTGCTACGTGGGCCTGTCGAGCGTGGACGCGCTGCGCGGCTTCGTGTTGGCCCCGCTCTTCGTGTACCTGTTCATCGGCACGTCCTTCCTGCTGGCCGGCTTTGTGTCCCTCTTCCGCATCCGCACCATCATGAAGCACGACGGCACGAAGACCGAGAAGCTGGAGAAGCTCATGGTGCGCATCGGCGTGTTCAGCGTGCTGTACACGGTGCCGGCCACCATCGTGCTGGCGTGCTACTTCTATGAGCAGGCCTTCCGCGAGCACTGGGAGCGCACCTGGCTGCTGCAGACATGCAAGAGCTACGCCGTGCCCTGCCCGCCCGGCCACTTCCCGCCCATGAGCCCCGACTTCACCGTCTTCATGATCAAATACCTCATGACCATGATCGTGGGCATCACCACCGGCTTCTGGATCTGGTCCGGCAAGACCCTGCAGTCGTGGCGCCGCTTCTACCACAAGCTCAGCCACAGCAGCAAGGGGGAGACTGCGGTATGAGCCCCGGCGCGCCCCCACGTTTCCACCCTCTTCCCTGGCAGGGCAGGCGCTGGAGGGAAGGAACGGCTGGCGGACGCAGCTTCCTAATTCCAGGCCCTCCCGCACCGGGCAGCGGGTTGCGAGAATTCCTTGGAAGAGATTTGCGGTGGGGTAGTTCGGAGGGGAGGCCGGGTGCAAAGGCCGCGGGGACTTCCGGCGGAGGCCTGCAGGAGGAGGCTGCGAGGACGGTGATGGAGGTGGCAACCGCGGTGGTGCTTGTCCTGGGCGGCGACGCCCACCAGCTGCAGGAGAGTGGCTGCCTGGCTCCCCGGAGGCCCGCGGGAGGCACGGCCCGCTGCAGTGCCGCTTTGCTGGGAAGCGGGAGGACCCCCGCGGCGGCCTTGTCAAGCTCTGGTCAAACCATAATCTCTTTTCACTGGGGCCAAACTGGAGCCCAGATGGGTTAATTTCCAGGGTCAGACATTACAGTCTCTCCTCCCCTACCCCCTCCCGGCTGTTTTTCCTCCCCTACTCCTTTCAAGTCTTGTAAAATAAGCATTTGGAAGTCCTGGGAGGCCTGCCCGCTAGAATCCTAATGTGAAGATGCAAAAGACGTGACACTAACATTTCAAGATAGGGCAAGGAGATAAGTAGTAGGTATTTTCCGGGGAAGGCAGGAGACAGAAAAAAGGGTGTTTTGCGTGGTTTAATACCCTGAAAAGAAGCGATGACTTGTTGCTTTTCAAAACAGGAATGCGTTTTCCCCCTTGTCTTTGTTGTAAGAGACAAAAGAGGAAACAAAAGTGTCTCCCTGTGGAAAGGCATAACTGTGAAGACTGCAACTTTTACAGGCAAAGCAGTGCAAATCTGAAGTTACCCTTTGGTTTTTAATTCGGTTGAAATAAACATTGCTTTTTAAGGGAAAGTGAAGGATGGTGTGCTTCCATAACTCATTCAGCCCAAGGTTCTAACTGGGATAAAGGAAATGCAAAAGGTTTTGTTTTTAAATACATGTAATTCAGAACATGCTCTTCAACACACCCTGTTACAATGCTTAGTGAAATCTCATGTTTTTCCCTTTCTGCAAGCCTGCGTTTAGATTTTCCAATTTGGATCCTTCAGGATAAAAGGAAAAGTGTAATGCCTTGAGCATTAGGGTAAGGTAAAGTTAAGTGGAATCATTTTGCATACTTTTCTGGGTTTCATAAATCTGTTTATAAAACATTATCCTGATCCCGTCTACGGCTGAGTGGGGAGGTGGACAGCAGAGATGAGTGTGAATGAAGGGAAAAAGTTGGAACCATGGGCTCTATTTTTAACGAAAGTCATTAAAAGAAGGTAAACTTCAAAGTGATTCTGAAGTTCTTTGAAATGTGCTGGAAGACTTAAATGTATTAATCTTAAATCATGTACTTTTTTTTCTGTAACAGAACTCTAGTTCTTTTGCATAATGATGTAAAGCTGAGCAGGGGATCCTGGGCTCTACCTTTACTCCACCGTTGACGCTGCCCTCAGTCTTGCAACAGGATCCTGTTTCTCCATGTTTAAATGCCAACCAGTGGGGTCTGTCGGGAGTACAAGTTAACTTCATATATATAGTGTTCAGTTGAGTTGAGCTGCTTTTACATTAAAGTTAAAATTGATCTCTCAAAACTATCTCACATGTCAGAGTTCTTTTAAACTGCCACTACACAGGTTTTTACATCTTTTGTGTTATATCTTAAATGCATGTGAAATTTGTAAAATAGAGACAAGTGCAGTATGTATATTTTGTAAATCTCCCATTTTTGTAAGAAAATATATATTGTATTTATACATTTTTACTTTGGGTTTTTGTTTTGCTTTGAAAATCTACAGTGAAGCCCCCACTTTATCACATGTACAGATCACAAATAAATTTTTTAAAAAATACAAACTGAATGTTTATTTAAACCAAAACAACTTTGCTGTGGAAAAACTGAAGGAGATCCACCATCACGCGTGTCCTCCGTAAAGGAGGCTGGTGTGTATTACTTATGAAGTCTTTTTTTACCCCTGAAATATGCAGTGTGATCATGTCTTGACCATCCTTTAGATATTTTCTCTCGTCACTGTTTCCTGCACCCTCCATGCCACTGACACTCCAGCATTATCATACCCTGCTCTGAGTAGCTAATGAAGTACCAAACAGCCTTTCTGTTAGAGAAGGGATGTCTGAGCTGTGTGTTTACTGCCTGTGGGAGCTGAAGTCCATATCTGAAAAAGAACCAGAAAGTATTCCGAGTGCTTGCTGCTTTTTGGTGACTTCCTTGGGAAGAATTTAATGAGGTGTGTGTGTGTGTGTGTGTGAGTTTAAACAAATTGAGACTTTTGTATTCACATACACTTTTAAGTTAGTGTCTGAATGCTTTGGGTTCTGGTAGTAGGACAATGGATGATGAGTCCAGATGAGGACAGAGGCCCTGTTGTGCCCTCGGATTGGGCTGTGACTCAGCAGTTCTGGCGGAAGGGACTGCGGGCCTGACCCGGGCACAGCCTCTGGTGCCAGGCTGCCCTGCTCCTTCGGGAAGCCCTGGCTCCAGGCATTTTAGTATCATGATATTCTTACAGTCCCAATTCTGAACCGCACTGGGATTTTTTTTCTTTCCTTTTGCTTTTCTTTAGCTTAGGTGCCAATTTCCTGGCTTTTTATAAATCACCCAGTGCATTCTCCTGCAGCAAACTGGGTGCTGTTACTTTTCCAGTCCCACTCTGCCTGAAAGTTTCTGGAGCTCTGAAGCACAGCAGAAACAGTTTAGTTTTGTTTTAGTTAACAGGCTTACACACACAGCAAAGTGCAAGGAGTGAAAATAAGTGACAGAAATGATATCACAGAGTTTTATTGGATCATTGAACAGAACTGTTTGCAGTATCATTGTTGGAATGTCCACTCTACAAGCTTTAATTTTGTGACTTGAACAATTATTTCTAAGATGGCAATATGTAATCCATTAACTAGTGATTTCCTACTGCGCATTTTTTTCTTCTGTAAATCTGTATAACTTGTACCCCTTCACTGTTTTTTTTTTCTTTCTTTTCTTTTCTCCTTAAATAAAAATAAAAAGAAAAAAAGAAAATAAGTGACAGTACTCCAGGAGGAGAATGCCTGCTTGTGTGGAGCAGTTCTCTTTTACGAGCCTCCTGGGTTTTGATCACAATAGGTGTGAGTTCATCCTGACCTGTGAGGATTTAGGCTTCAAGGAAGGAAAGAAACAGCCACTCAAGTCTCCTAAGGTTTATCCAGTTTTCACTCATAAAATGACACCCTTCCAGCTTAAAGCATGCCTGTCTCACACCGTGCTAATGCTGCCTGTTAGGAGTGTTTGCTTTTAGAGTAGGTGGATGCTCCCAGTGGGGTTTTTCTCCTGCAAATTAACTGCTGAAGGCACTTAGACGCTTGGGGTAGAGCTGTGTGACTGCTCAGCACTGCCTGGTTTTTCAGAGCCCAAGACCCAGAGCCTTGGTCTTCTGGGAAGGAACAAAGCCGCCTCAGAATAGATTGCTACCTGCTCTTTGGTAGGCAAAGATACAAGAGTTCACCTCAATTCCTTCCACACCAAGATGACTTCTTATGCAGTGTGTTCTCAGCTTAAACTCAGAAGCTGGGGGTTTTTTCTTAGGGAGGCACAGTTTAATCAAAAAAAAAAAAAAGTGAAGGAGAGGGCTTGTGAAAGGGATGGATAGAATTAGAGTTCAAGAAAAACACTAGTAGGAGTTTGGTGTTAATCCCTACATAAGGAGCAGAAACACTTGTGAAAATTTTTTGCAGTTTGTAAAACAAAACTACACAACAACCCTAATGTTTCTAAATAGGTATGTGAGAAAACTTGGCAAGGAAAACTATGTGTCCTGTTAACATCTCATAATTAAAAATGTTTAGTGTACCAGACATAAAATAGTGCTGTTACAAATTCTCTGGGTGGGATTAGAGTGGTATAACAGCTGTAGGTTTGAGTGCTGTGATTATACTGGGAAAACCTAATGCTCCCATCTTTAATTTCACTGAAAAGGCAGATGGCTATTTATAGATGGTATATTTTTATGTATGCATATGTGAATGGTGAATAACAGTCTACAGGGCTCCAGGAAATCCTAGAAGGGGCCAAAAACACTCCAATATGGACTTAAATAGGCAACTCGTAGATGTGTTCTATTTTTCTCTTGTTTCTCCCTCACTGCATTTAACTGGCTTCATAAAATTTTGTTCTTAAACTCTTACTTCCTAATGTGACTTTTCTTATATTTAAATCTGTATTCCTCATATTTCATATAAGAGGGTACCATCAAAATGTCACAGTGTTATTTTCTTTGGCTGTTTTAAGGTTAAAAAAAACAGTCTTTCGGAATTTCTCCATTAACCCACAGTGCTGGGGGGTGCATATGTTCAACAACAGAAGTTTATTATCAGTCTTCAACTCAGCAAGAACTGATCAAGCAGCCACCAGGCAGAAGGCAGCAGACAACAGATGACAGCACGAAAGGAAGGCCACCAAAGCAGTTCCATTCTGCTTCAGAGTCCCAGGGAAAAGCAAGGTAACGTCCTGCTGGACAGAGCCCGGCTAGGGTCCTGATAAAGGCACAGGTGCTGTTTGTAGTATCACTTGACATTTGGTAGCATTTATGGTTTTAAAAAGCTCCTTTCAATTCATTATTGGACTTCATCCTTACTATACTCCAACCTTGGAATGGAAAATAATTCTGATTTGAAAGATGAAAACACTAGGGCTGGGGATTTAGCTCAGCAGGCATAAACGCCTGCCCTTGTACGCACGAGGTTGTGAGTTCGATCCCCAATATAAAAAAAAAAAAAAATGAAACTTAAAGACTCAGGTGAGGTGAAATCCCACAGACTGAGGTGGGCTGGATCTCCAGTACTCACACAGAACTCAGCAGACTTTCTTTGTCCGCTGCCTGGCTTCTCTCCCCAGGCCCTGTGCAGGCATCACAGGGGAAATGACCCAGCCAATCAGAGCAATCGGTGTCTGGCAAGAGCTCAGCTTATTCGACATAATCTGTGCACGCTCAGATTGCTTTCTTCACTCAATGGACTCACTTTCTTTTTTTTTTTTTTTGTCTTTTTTCGTTTTTATCGGTACCAGGGATCAAACTCACGACTGCCTGCTTGCAAGGCAGGCGCTTATGCCGCTGAGCTAAATCCCCAGCCCCAATGGACTCACTTTCTACACTTGAAGAAGACCTCAAGATGAAGGCCTTCCTCCAGCCTCCTGGCATCATACGTGCAAGCACTGTACAGGCGCCTCACCTGGCCCATCTCTTCTTGGATCATCCATAACTATTTTCACAACTCTGGCTGATTATTTTTTTCTTCCTTCCTATAGGTCAAAGTGTCTCATCTGTTAGCAAGCCAAAGTGTGCTCTGCAAGAAGAGGAACTTTAATATTAGCCAGTTCAAAAACTGGAATTGTCACTGTGGTCCCTGTCTACAGAATATGGTGGTGCCCCTGTTCACAAACTCAGTCTTCTCCATGATTCCCTCCATAAATCCAACCAGGCAAGAACCAAATCCAATTTCCCCACAAAGGCAACATTGAACTTTACCATTGAATTTTATTCGGTTCTCGTCCAACTCAGTTTGCAACCAGCATTGTGGAAAGAATCAAGTTCATGAACCAAAGTACCACTGTCAGAGCTTGGGGCTCCGTGGTCTTTGAAACTGGATGCTTCTGCCCATCCTCGCTCTATCAGCAGTTGCATTTCAGCACCTGATGGTTCAGCCTCCGAGAACCACGAGGACCTTTATTTCATGGAATCTCCTTGGTTTTCTCATTAAACACATGGCCACAGCTCATCAACCTTGGAATGTCAGTAGCAAATCTACTTTTGAAGAAGTTGAAAAGATAGGGTAATTTTGTTTCTGATCAGTTATACAATGGCAAAGACAATGGTTTTCTAGGTCCCTGAAGCCTCTTTCAAAGGATTTTCAACTAAGGAAATAAAGCTGTAGGTGTTGTGAGGTGTTCAAGTGTGCTGAGCTGGTGGTCTGCCTCATTTCGTAAGGGCCATTCGGGGGCCTCCTCGCCACCTCGTGTCCTTCACAAAGTTAGCGTCCTTCCTTTTTCTTTTTTATTTCTTTAATGCTTCCCACATGTAAAACTGTATGCTGTTCAACACTGACATTAGACTCAGCCTAAAGTCCATGAAGTGGTCTCAAGCGATGAGAGGGACGGGGTAGGAAGGGGCATTCAGGAGGCCAGAGGCAAGGGGGATGGGTGAGGAGCTGAGGTCTGCGGCCAGGAATAAAGACCAGCTTTCTAGTGACCTACCTTCACGCTGCTCACACTCAGAGGATCTGACCTGGCACGCCTGGTGTAGGAGGACCCAGGTTCAGTTTCCACTCCCACAGCAATATAGTTGGTTCCCAACGTCAGCCTTGAAGATTCTGAAGTAGCATTTAACCAAAGAGAAGCACACAGAGAGGACAGTGTGGAAGGGGAAGGGCAGGAAACCTTGTGCATATGTATGTAATTTCCACAGGAGACAAAGGGAGCCACAGCTGGCGTGGTCTGCAGCTCCAGCTGGGGAAAAGGGACAGACAGTGGCCGACCCCAGACCGCTGCAGCGTGGGTGCAGCCCAAGACCTGTGCACAGTCCCAGATTCAACTCAGCGCCAATGTGTTTTGGGAAGATGCTGGCAAGCATGAGGGCCTGAGTTCGATTCCTGGTACAGGAAGGAAGGAAGGAAGGAAGGAAGGAAGGAAGGAAGGAAGGAAGGAAAGAAGGAAGGAGGGAAGGAAGGAAGGAAGGAAAGAAAGAAAGAAAGAAAGAAAGAAAGAAAGAAAGAAAGAAAGAAAGAAAGAAAGAGAGAAAAAGAGAGAGATAGAAAGCACCTTTCTCCTCAGGGTCCTGAAAGCCTAACAAGTTGCTAAACGTTTGGGG